GAAACTTGATTGCTGTTCCATCAGAGAGGCTCCCGGGCAATCTATCTCCATCTGAGGCCATGGCTTGCTCGGCTCCTTCTAATCCTGTTATCTGAGGGACTAATTCTCTAATGCACACACTGCATACAATGCATCCTCTTTCCTCCTAACCCAATTGGATGCCCCAGAGAATTCCAGGACTGAACACAGAAATGAAGACTCAGGGCCCATGGGACAGGGTCTCCAGGCTTTCTCATGGTATTTTTTTTTTTTCCTCAGTGTTGAAGATCGAACCTAGAGCAGCAGTTATCAATCTGTAGGTCGCGACCCCCTTGGGGAGGGGTTCACATATCAGATATCCTGCATAGCCTCAGACTCTTTCATAGCTCGGCCAGGCCTTGAACTGTTGCTCATGTTGCCTTCACCTCCCTCATGCTGAGATTTCATGTCTATACAACCTCATCTAGAGGCTTTTGTTGTTGTTTTAGTAGTTTTTAATTTTGAGATAAGGTCTCACTGAGTTGTCCAGGCTAACCTTTTTGCTTACTTGTTGTTTACTTGCTTGCATGTTTGTTTGAGACAAGGTCTTGTGTATATCAGGTTGGTCTTGAACTCACTATGTAGTTGAAGGTGACACCTTAAACTTCTGCTCTTCCTGCTCCCCAGTACTGAAATTACAAGTGTGCACCACCAGGCCTGGTGTTGTGAAGTGCTGGCACTGAATCTAGTGCTTTGTGTTAGGTAAGCTCGCTATGAAGTGAGTGCGCATCCCCAGCCATCTTTGAACCTTGGTCCTCTTACTTCAGTCTCACAAGCAGCTGGGATCACAGATGTGTACCACACATGCCCTCCATCCAGCTCTTTTTTTTATTATTATTTTTTAAAGGTTTATTTATTTATGCTTATAAGTGCTGTATTTGCATGTACGCTTGCATGACAGAAGATGCCAACGGATCCCGTTACAGATGGTTGTGAGCCATCATGTGGTTGCTGGAAACTGAACCATCATGTGGTTGCTGGGTCCTCTGGAAGAGTAGCCAGTGCTCTTAACCATGGAGCCATCTCTCCAGCCCCATCCATCCTACCTCGTAATAGGTCCTGATACACATACATTGTGTGTACCCCATTCTATGGTATGGAAGGCCCACTTCCTGAATCAGCGTAATGGGAAGAGGCGGTCCACACTCCACCTCCAGCTGCCTCATTTGCCTCTTCTTCCTCACCTCTTCCCAACTCTCTCTCTCTTCTCTTCCTCCTTTTCCTGTCTCCGTTCTATCTTCCCTTCTTGTCTCTTCCCCCTTTTTTCTCCCTTTATTTTTAAAATCTCTTTCTTCTTTTCTAGATCCCCCCAATAGCTTCTGTTTCTTCTTTCCCCTTTTTCTCCCACTGTAGTTTGGCCCCTTTCAGGACAAGGTGGCTCTTGGTGCTTTCTTCTACCTTTCTGTCTTCAAATAACTGGTGTGGCTTGGGTATGCACCAGAACGTTCATTCTGGGGATGTCTGGCTTGACACATTTGTTGGCAATTTGGGGATCCCTAATTTACCAAGTGTGCTTTCGTCTGCCACTTGGTCTTATATTCATTTCCTAAAGAGAAAAATCTTGGAGTTGATTTTCCTTGTGTTTCTGAATTGTTAGTGGTGAAGCAAATGAATTTACAGGAGAATAGCAAGTGCTCTGTGAGCTTGATGAAACCTTCTGGAACCAAAATCCTGGCTAGCGTCCCTAGGAAGGGATTCTGCAAAGGAATGTCACAGTGCTGTCTGTGGAGTTCATAGTGCACGTGAATGAGGAAAGGATTCAGCCTGACCAAGGCATACGTTTGTCTTTTGACTATCATTTAGGGCCCTGGGAAGGTAGCTTAATTGGCAGGCATGTGTCTAACATGCATGCAGTCTTGGGCTTGATGCCCAGCATCACATAAACCAGGCTTGGTGGTTCAAGTTTATGATCCCAGCACTGGAAAAGTGGAGAGGTGTGGTGTGTGTGTGTGTGTGTGTGTGTGTGTGTGTGTGTGTGTGTGTGTAGTTCAAGGTCAGCTTCAGCTACATGAGATCTTGTCTAAAAAAGAAGTGTATTATGTTTTGTTGAGACTAAGGGTGAGATGTTGTTGGCAGAATACTTGCCTGACCTGCTCGAAGATTTCATCGTCAAGACTGTATGTATGGGTATGGTGGTGGGTATGGTGGTGCACACCTATAGTCCTAGAGTTTAGACTGTAGAGGCAGGAGGATTAGAAGTTTGGCTATAAGGAGAGTTCCAGGCAAGTCTGGGCTAGATGAGACCCTGTCTAAAAAACTAAAATAAAAATAAGAAAGAAACAATACAATTAAAAAAAAGTTTTCTCTTGCAACCCATTTCATACATATATTCAACTGAAAAAGGAATTACAAGGAAAAAAAAAGTGTTTTGTTGTTGAAGTTTACCATGACAGATACAGAAGACCCTTCCTTAAATACAGAAGGGAGTGACCATGACAGATACAGGAGAACTTTCCTTTAATACAGAAAAGATTGAAGAGTCTCCACTTAACAACAGGTTGGGGTGGGGCTCCTCCAAGATGACATTTGTATAGTCTGACTCAGACAACTTTTGGGGCACATGGCTGTGTCTCTGAGAAGTAGATGCTTACTCATTTAACTTACAAAGAGAAAAGAGACTCTTTTAAGAAGGCCAAATTTAAACAGAGGTATTGAAAATGTCTACAAGGGGGATGGAGAGATGTCTCAGAGGTTAAGAGCACTAGCTACTCTTCCAGGGGTCCCGAGTTCAATTCCCAGCAACCACTTGGTGGCTTACAACCATCTATAATGAGTCTGGTGCCCTCTTCTGACCTGCAGGTGTACATGCAGGCAGAACATTATATACATGATAAATAAATCTAAAAAAGAAAAACAAATATATACAAAAGGATATTAAGTACAAAAGGGGAGAGATGTGCTGAAGGGATGGTTCAGCAGTAAAGAGCATGTAATGCTCCTGCAAAGGACCTGAGTTCTGCTCCCAGAACTGTTGGGCAGTTCACAACCACCTGTAATTCCAGCTCCAGTGGATACAAGACCTCTGGCCTCTATGGGCACTGGCCTTCACAGGTACATATACATACACATAACAGATACAGACACAGACACAGACACAGACACAGACACAGACACAAAATTAAAAATAAAACCTTTAAAAAGTAAGAATACATTTTTAAAAGAAGGGGAGACAGCTATGAAATTATATATATAGTATATTTCATTTATTTATTTATTTTTAGGTGTACAGGAGCCTAAGGAGGTCAAAGAGGCATCAGACCACCTAGAATGGAGTAACAGACAGTTGTGAGCTGCCATATTGGTGTTAGGAATCGAATCTGGGTCTTCGGGAAAAGCAGCTAGTGCTCTTAACCATCAAGCTCTAACTCTAACCTTAACTTAACTTCTAACCTCCTATTTTCTTAACAATACATGTTATGGAAGGGATTCACAGAAGAACATACTCTGTATGGATACCTGAATTGTTCTTCATAATTTTCTATAATGAATACTACAGATACTTACTGTATCTAACAAAACATAGAAAAATAAATGCACATGACATTCAAAATATTTTTTTTTACAAGGCTGGGGAAATGGCTCAGAGGTTAAAAGCATATACTGCTCTTGCTGAGGACCCATGTTCAGTTCCTAGCACCCATGACAGGCAGCCTACACCGCCTGCAACTGTAGCTCTAGGGGACCCAATGTCCTCTTCCAGTCTCTAAAGGCACTCACACACATGCAGACCCGCCCACCTCTCCCACGACCACCCATATACGCATAATTAAAAGTAAGATTAATCTTTAAGATATACATATATATATATACATATATATGTATATATATATATTACTATTGTTAACTCTATATGTGTGAGTGAGGAAGGCAGGGAGGGAGGAAGGAAGGAAGGAGAAAGAGAGAGAGGGATCACCGCTGTGTCACAGCACCTGGTCCTTTTGCTTATTAACTTTTAATTAATCTTGTGTTTGTTTGTTTGTTTTCTGAGACAGGGTCTCATATAGCCAAAAGTGCTCTGAAACCAGCTGTGCAGCTCAGAGTGGCCTGAAGCCTCTGTTCCTCCTGCCTCTTTCTCCCTGAGATTACAGGGGAGCACCATAAGACCTGGTCTAAAGCATTCTTTCCCCCCCCCCCCCTGTATTGCTAGGGACTCAGCCCAGGGCTTTGTGCATGCTAGGCAAGTACTGTACTCCTCAACCATGTCCCTTGACTTACCATAAGAACATAATCACAAAAGGCCACACATTCAGTGACATTTGTTAAAGCCCAGGGCATCAGGTAAAGATGTGTAAAATGTCTTTAGTTTTCCTCAATTATTGGTGGCCCCTGCCCTAAGTAATTCTAGTACTCGAGAAGTGAAGTCGGGAGGATCGGGAGTTCCAAGCCATTCTCAGCTTCTAAGTGAGTTCAGGGACAGCCTGGGCTGCATGAGAACCTGACTTAAAAAAAAAAAAAAAAAAGGAAAACAAATCTAAATGAAATAAAAATGCTTAACTGAATGAGGATGAAGGAGCAGGCCTTTAGTGTGACCCCTGCCATCCTCTCTGTCTGCAGAAAATGTCCAGTCACCTGCTAGGGGCATTATATCACCTTGGGATCCCAAAGTATGCCTCTCGCTGTCCCTGCTTAAGCCACCCCTCCCTCTCCCTTCCCTTACTATACCTGTGAAGGGACACTAGTGACAGTGACAGAGCAGTGTACAAGCGCCACAGCCCTCGGGTTGCATCATTGCTTCCCGGATCCTGTGGGCCCTTTCCCCAGAGTATTTCTTGGGCAACAAACAGCCAAGCCACCTACTTGAATGGGTGGGCTGAGCTCCCTCTCCTGACATCTGCCAACAGACTCCCCTCCCTTTCCTCCCGCCCTGAAACCTGATCCAGCTGAAAAGCTGCCGGGGAGAAAACTTGGCGGCTTCCCAACTCTGGTGGCCCGGGAGTGCCAGGCTGCAGCCTCACAAGGTGCAGACAGCAGTTGGAAAAGCAGGCTGCCTGGGACATGAGGTTGGCAGAGGGTGTGCAGGCTGGCAGTCGGGGGGACTCACCCTGAGTGGCTGCTCCGAGGCCCTCCCACGCCCGGGACACTTGCCATGCTGCCCTGCATCCCGCAGGTGCTGTTGGCCTTGTTCCTTTCCACGCTGCTAGCCCAGGGAGAAGGTAAGGAGTTCTGCGGGGAAGGGAAATAGCAAACTGGGATGGTGGGAAGGCCTTAGGTCTCAAAGGGCTGAAGGCAGGAGAGGCTGGAGCCACAGGAAGGTCAGCTGTCTCACTACTGACCTGAGTGAGGAAGCCTTCCAAGGTATGGGGTCTAACTGCGTGGTTTGAGAAGTTGAATCCAAGGTGAGTCCGCTGCTGAGACGGGAGTTGAGAGGTTGTCTGTCTGTAAGAACTACATAGGTGGGTGCTGGATTCCCATTCTCTCTGCCTTGCCTTTCAGCATATCAGACGGGAACAGCTTCGGACCTGTGGGCTCATTCCGTTCACTTTTTCTTATTATAACCACAGTCCAGAGAGGGAAAATAATTCACTCAAGGTCGCACAGCTTGTCAGCAGCAGAGCGGGGACCAGTAACCTTTCCTTGCTTTGGCTGGTTTTGTTGCATGGGTCCTTTTTCCTCTCTCCACCAAGGCTCACCCAAACTTTCTACCCAGTCCTCTCCTGACTGCCTCAGCAACAGGCTGTTCGGCACACAGACCACATTCAGGCCCACAGGAAGGTACCTTCTACACAGCTGGGTTTTAGCAGCTTGGGGGACAACGAGAAGGATGCCACCAAGGGGTGGGACTAATGTGAAGGCTAGGAATGGGGTGCTCTTTTCTGCAAGCTGTCGTTGGGAGAATCAGAGGCAAGCTGCGTGGGGTAAGTGCTTCGGGATGCCTTGCCTGCCTTGCTCTGAGGCCTGGCTGCATTAGCTAGGCACTCTCCAAACTTTTGCAAGAACCCCCCAAAGCCCACCAGATTCCCTTGCAAGGCTCTTAGAGTCTCAGGTGGTGTGAAATCTGGTTTGGATCTCAGTTTCTTGGCTAGCAGGACGTACTATTTACCCTCCTGAGCCTTGGGGATTCCTATCTATATAATGGTCTGTCTTACTAGCTACTCTAGCAGGGTACTCTGAGACTGAAATGGAAGACTTGTGTAGATACTATTCCATTATTTCAAGGCTGGAGATATAGCTCTCTTGTTAGAGGCCTGCCTGGTACACATTCACAAAAGCCTTGCTCCAATCCCCAGCACCACATAAGCCAGGAGTATAATAAAGTCCGTAATCCCCAGCATTTGGAAGGTGAAGGCAGGGGTATCAGAAGTTCAAGTTCTATTTGCTCACCTCTGTCTTTTCAGACACAAGGGAAGCTTACGGGCCAGATGGATGACATACCAGAGCAGAGCCTGCAAGAATGCCTTGACATCTGGTGACATGCGTGAGGACAGGGGATAAGGGACACAGCAGTACCTAGTAGTAATCAGCCTTGTTGGCTCCTGCCTTGCAAAGGACCAGTTCACTCTACAGTCCTCCTTTCTGGCTGTCCGGGCCCTGGCCCTCTGGGCTGTGCCCTCTGCACCCACTGCCCACTGACTTTCATTTTGCTTAATGAAATGTGGACTGCTTCGTGAGTTTGCATAGCCTTGTTGTGCAGGGTCCTCCACAGCCTCTGTGTCACCTTGTTTCAGCATGTGTGCTGTCCAAGTGAGTGGGGCTTTCACATCCCTCCTGCTTTCCCGGTTGCTGCTACTGTTTTCCAGAGGGAAACCAAGGAATGCTCAAAATCCCCGGAACAGCGCCAGGACCTGGTGCTAGGTTTAAAAAAGAAAAATGCTTCTTCTTCTTCTTCTTCTTCTTCTTCTTCTTCTTCTTCTTCTTATTATTATTATTATTATTATTATTATTATTATTATTATTATTATCGTTACTGTGTGTGTAGTCACACATGTGCCTTGGTATGCATGTGGAGGTCAGAGGACAACTTGCAGAAGTCCTCTCCTTCCACCGTATTGATCCAGAGATTGAACTCAGGCCATGAGTCTTAGTGGCAGGTACCTTTGTCACCCTGAACCATTTCACCTGCCTGGAGGATGAAATTCTTCAACAGACTGTAAACTGGGGCAAGAGAACCAGGACTCTGGTGTCCGTGTTAAACTGCTCTCCTTCCCAGGCAGCCAGAGGAGGGCCACCCAGGCCCGCAGCAGCACCGCCCAGCCCACCCTGCTCAGGCTGTCTGATCACCTCCTAGCCGACTACAGGAAGGGGGTTCGGCCTGTGCGGGACTGGAGGAAGCCTACTACCATCTCCATCGACGTCATCATGTATGCCATCCTCAGCGTGGTGAGCTGCCCTCGACCTCTTCGGGAGGGTCAGAGAAGCCATGTGAGGCCAAATTGCCTACTGGGCAGTGTAAGGGGTATTGAGAGCCCTACTACTTGTGTTCTAGCACCATGGCTAGGGATGGACTGAAGTTGTGTCTGCACAGCTTCCCAAACCACAAACCCGGGCCACCTATGTACACCCAGTCCTAGAAGTGGCTATCCATACAGAGCATGACGGGAACTGTCTCCCCCATATCGTTTCTATACTCTTAGTGCCTTACCCTGGTAAGTGGCAGGTGTCACTAGGTGGCCACAATAGATAAAATGCCAACTAATCGATCAATTAAATAATCAATAAGTAGAGTGGGGCAGGGCGCACTGCTCAGTGGATGAGGCTAAGCGTTGCATGGAGGTTGACAAAAGGCAATTGTAGAGCCTTTGGCTCTCTAGCTTTCGATGGGGAGGTGGGACCTGAACTTACCGGCTGTTAGGTCACATGTCCCACATCCTATACAGGAGGGGATCACGGCATTTAGAACATCTCTGGAGAGAATAGCTAAAGGCAGGTGGCTGTTCCGCTAGCCAAAAGGCAGACTTGGAACTAGATGGGGAAAGGCAAGCAATCACTTTCTCCACTCTGTAGTTCAAAGTCTCTTAATTTTGTAGTTCAGCAGTCCATATATGCATTATGTATACTATACATAAGCTATTATATAGCTAATAGAAGGTAAGGTATCTATATGCATACTATTAAGTATATATATAAATATGATAAACAATAGCAACAGAAAATATACACAGTTTACATGTCTCTAGGAGTTTTTGCTTGTTTGTATTGTGTTCCTGTTTTTGTTCTTTGGGTTTTTTTGTTTGTCTGTATTTTTGAGACAGTGTTTATCTATGTAGCCTTGGCTGACATGGATTCATTTGTAGATCAGGCTGGCCTCGAACTCACAGAGATCCTCCTCCCTCTGCCTCCCTGAGAGCTAGGATCACAGCTATGTACCACCATGCCCAGCTTGTTGTTCTCCTTTATTGAGACAGTTTTACCATATTCCCAGGCTGGCCTGAAGCTCACACAATCTCTCTGCCTCAGCCCTCTGAGTTCTGGACTCCAGGCATGTACCAACACACTTTACTATGTATCTTGGAAGTTGAAAAGAAACTATTGCATTTCTTTTTACTTATGCCCTCTTAACAGAGCAGCTTTTCCTGGCTGGCCAGCTGGTTCATGCCCTTCCCCAATCCCACCTGCCCAGCAGATGAGATGCCCAATGTACCAGCTCCTGCCTGGGTGGTGTGTGTGGGAATCACCCGTCAGCTTCCTTTCCTTTCCTAGGATGAGAAGAACCAGGTACTGACTACCTACATATGGTACCGGCAGGTGAGCACAGCAGCCTCTCACTTCCTGGGACGTCCCCCTCTCAAAGAGTCAGGGATCTCAGTGGCCACAGTGAAGGAAGGTGGTGAGCAGATCAGAGGCACAGCAGACAGATATGATATCTAAGAGTCTGAAATGTCCCATCTCAGGGCCAGGGGAAAATGAGTGGGAGGCAGCCCGCCAGCCTCCACCCCTGGTTTCTCAGGTGCTTTGGGGCATCTCAGACAAGTGCTGACTGGCTAACCCTGGAGGAAGGATAATTCTTGACCCAAGAACTCACACTAAAGTGGCTGTACTTTCATGTGAACAGCTCTAACTTGGAGAAAGTTCTTCATTCTTTTACCCTAAGTTGGATGATGACCAAATTGGGCGATTGAAACACTTAACCCTCGGATGCTGCCCTGTTGCCTCTTGTCCAGTTCTGGTAGGTATAGATCACACTGATATATAGATGTTTCAGGCCTCGACTGAGCTCTGAGAAGAGGAGAGGCCTTGCTCCAGAGGTTGTGTAGACAACATCAGGCATACACAGGTCTCTGGAATCCCTTCCCATGGCGATGTTCATGCTCTATCACTCCCATACATTTGTGGGACAGAGAGTGTAGTAGGGGAATGCAGATCCCTAACAGACAGCTCCATTTCTGCCTCACTGAAGGACCCTTTAACTCAGAACACACCCGTCTCATGGGCAAGGAGCCAAACAAGAATGGGCTGCATGCTTCCCTGTGCTGTTATACATGCAGATGATGGAGAGTGGTAGAGGTGGGGTCTCTCAGCAACCAGTGAAGGGTATGGTTCAATGCCCAGATTTCCCCCCGGAAGATGCCCACCCTCTGCCTGAGCAGAAGGGATAGAGACCTGTCAGATTTGCAGGTGACCCTCACCCAAGATGGAGGAAGCTGCCTCTGACAGTTTCTGCTTCTTCCACAGTTCTGGACTGATGAGTTTCTGCAGTGGACTCCTGAGGACTTTGACAACGTCACCAAGTTGTCCATCCCCACAGACAGCATCTGGGTCCCTGACATCCTCATCAATGAGTTGTGAGTCCTCTCATCAGGGCACAGGGGTCTGGGAGGCTGTGGCTAGAGAAGCCAGGACCAGTGACAATTTCTTCTCTAGCTCAAGTTAGTATTTGTTCAAGCTCTCCTTTACCCAACTTTCTTTTCTTTGATCACCCCTCCCTTCCTTTTTGTACTGGATGCTACAACCTTATATCTCTTAGTCTGGGGGCCTCCATTGTAGGAACAGAAGCCAGTGGGTGATGTCACACTGAGTTCTAATAACTTAATGGAGACAGCTGCGTTTTTCAGAGGGGACCGGTACATTTTTTTGAAAGGAGGGAAACACTGATGACAGCCAATGCTCTTGGTCACAGAGGAGATGGGGAGCCAAAGAACATGTTCAAACCTCCAAAGCCACACGTGTGCCTAACAGGACGCGGTTGGCACCTCCAATATGAAGTGGGTCCCATTAGCTTTTGTTTCCAGCAGCCCAACATGATCCCATTGCCTTGAGCCAGCTGACTTTCTCTCCATCCTGCAAGTTCGTCCAGGCTCCACCAACTGGACATCTGAGTTCAAAGGCAAAGAAATACATGGGGAAAATACAGATAGATGGGGGAAAGTAGGCTGGGAGCTGTGGCTCAATTGGTAGAGTATTTGCCTCGCATGCACAATGTCTGGGTTCCATGCCTAAACCCATCATCCCAGCACTTGGGAGATAGAAACAAGATTATTAGAAGTTCAAGACTCTTCTTGACTACATAGAAAGGCTAGCCTGGAATATATGAGATCTTTTCTTAAAAAACAAACTAACTAACAAGGAGAGGTGCCAGAGGACTCATGCAGTATCAACTGTACTGTCCAGCTCCATGACATTTTCTTAAAGAAGTCCCACCCTTGAATGCCCCACAGAGCATAGCTAGTAAGAGTTCTAGAAATTTCTTTCTGCCCTTACTTTTAGTCTACATCTCTTAGTCTACCACAGATAAGGCCCTAGGCTCAACCTACCTCATATCTTGGGGTTCAGGCTCAGTCAAGAGAATGGGCTGAATTCTTATTGGATTTTCCTAGGCTTCCCTACTTCCTACAAACAGTCTCTATTCTCTTCCCTCCTGAGGTGACTCCTCTCATTTTGGGAGCTTGTAGACACAGGCAGCAAAGCAAAAATCAGAGTCAGAATGGAACACATGGTTCTCTTCTATTGAACCATTGGCTACTCTGGGAGTCAGCTCTACTCTCTCTGGTGTAGGCTGGGCATGACAGCCTGGAGACAGCTTGGCTAGCTCCCTAAGGCCAGTGGCTTTGAGATCCATGAATTCCTTCTCTGCCTTTGAGAGCATTGCTAAGGGAGTGAATAAGAGAAACACCCGTTACTGTTTGGAGCATAGCCTTGATAATAGTGGGTCAGAAAGCTAAGATTGATAACATTGGAAAAGAAAGGCCAGACAAAATGTCTGGATTATCTTGCTATCTAGGCCCTCCCTGAATTTCTTTCTCTACCGGGCTACTCAAAAGATCTTTAGCTTCCCGGGGTGAGGGTCTGCCTCTTCAGCCCACAAACTGATCGCTCTTCCCTGACCAGTGTGGACGTGGGGAAGTCTCCGAGTATCCCTTATGTGTACGTGAATCATCAAGGTCAAGTCCAAAACTACAAGCCCCTACAGGTAGTGACTGCGTGCAGCCTTGACATCTATAACTTCCCCTTTGATGTGCAGAACTGCTCTCTGACATTCACCAGCTGGCTGCATACCAGTGAGTATGTGGGCTTGTGGGTGGGGCAGAGGTTGGGACTTGGGGCCAGGAGCATTGTCTATGATGCATCCTCCCTTAATCAAGGCACCTCTTATTTCCTTCCTCCATCTCTTCCATTCTCCTGACTCTTTAATTTGTCTTGTTTCTTTGTGGTTCAGGGATGTAATCTAAGACCTTGAACACACTCGGCAGGTACCCCACCTCTGAGCAATATATCCTGCCACTTGCCCTTTTAATGTCAATGAGCCTCTGTTTCCTCTTTCTTTAGATGGATCCAATATTGCTGTTCTCACTGCCTCCTTTAGTTGTTGCAAGGGTTAATGAGGTGGTGTGAACCCGCTCCAAGGTACTCAGCTAGGGACAATTCTAACCCAGTGTCTCAGAGAAGACCTGACAGAAAATGTGTCTCAGATTCCACCCAATCCTCTTCACCCCTTGGTCAAGCCACCACCCCTGCCCAGATGTACTTATTCTCCTCTACTCTGGGCTTCTGCACTCACCACCCCTACTGTGGCTCATGCTCCCCACAGCAGCCAGTGAGCTCTTATTAAAATGCTAATCTGACCATGTCATTTAAACCCCTCAATGGCTTCCCAGCACTCCTGGGATCCAGTCCAAATTCTTGACCTGGTCCTACCCACAGTGTTCCACAGAAGCTTCATCGGATGTGTGCCAGCCCAGCTGGCTTCCTCTGGGAGCCTAGAGGCCCTGTCTGTTCTCTTTATCAGGCTGTTCCCTCTCTCCTGGGCTATCTACCTCTCCTCCTTCTCCTGCTCCTGACACCCCCACCACAGCCTGGTCAACTCCTCCAATCACCCTGTTGATTATGCCTCGGCTATCACCAGCTCCTGGGAGAACTTTCCATAGCCCCCTAGACTAGCTGTCCCTCATGAAGTTTTTTTTTTTTTAAACCCTTGTTTTTCTTATTAACTTCATCACTTGTTAATACTTTTTCAGTCCATGTCTAATTTTCTCATAGATATAATTTCAGAGGAGTGGGAACATGGTTTCTGGTCCACTATTAGGCTCTCTAGCACAGTGTCTAGTCCTGAGAGTTTTTATTGAGCGTGTAAATGCCAAGTACTCAGTGGATGGCTGGGCAAGGAATACTGCTGGACTAAAGCAAGAAAATTCTTTCTGCTTTCACCTATTCATTATATCAAACTTCAATTATGGGGCCCGGAAAGATGGTTCCTCAGTTAAGAGCACTTGTTGCTCTTCTGGAGGACCCAAGTTCTATTCCTAGCGTGACACGTGATAGCTTACAACTGTCTGTAACTCCAGTTCCCTGGAGTTCAACGCCCTCTTCTGGCCTCCATAGGCACTGCACAAGCACAATACACAAACATAAATGCGGGCAAGACACTCATACACACACTTAAAAATTATAGAGTTTTCCAGTTCCTTCTCCATGCATTTCCACCTACATGCTTGTGCACGCACGCCCATGTGTTACCTATTGAAAGCACATGTTGCATATACTATTATCATATGCTGCTACTTGATTCTTTTTATCAGCAACTTTTTCATAGTGTGCATGAGATCTCCTTCGTAAATTTTCAGTGAAATACACCCATCTAGATGTATCATTGTTCATTAAGTATTTTTTTCAGTAACAGGCATTTAGATTTTTTTCCTTTATTTTCTTTGAGGTGTGTGTGTGTGTGTGTGTGTGTGTGTGTGTGTGTGTGTTTGTGTACACATGTACATGTGAATGCACATAGTGCTCATATATGTGGGAGTCAGAGATCGACCCAGGGTGTCTTCCTTAGTTGTTCTCCATTTTGGCTTTCTTAGGGAGGATTTCTCACTTTTCCCTGCACTTGCTAATTAGGTTAGGCTGGCTGGCCAGTGAGCCCCAGGGATCCCACTGTCTTTATCTTCCAGGGCTGGGATGATAAGTGTACACCACCACACCCAGGTTTTTTGTGTGGGTTCTGGGAATCGAACAGAATAGCAGACACCTTACTCAACTGAGCCATTTCCTCAGCTCCTTCTTAGCTTCAATTTTAAAAATTGATCAACTTTATTTTCTGTGTGTGAATGTTGCTTGCATGTATGTATGTGCACCCCGTGTGTTCCAGTGTCCATGGAGATCAGAAGCGGACACTGGACGCCCTGGAATTCAGATAGTTGTGAGCTACCGTGCTGGGTCAGGAAAAAGCAACAAGTGCCCTTAACTGTTGAACCATTTCTGTAGTGTCCACCACCACTTTTTTGGCTGTGAGCTCAAAGAGTTCAAACTGGCCTTCTAGACTGTCCTCCTGGAAATCCTCCTGGCTCTGTCTCTCATGTACTGAGATTATAGGCATGTGTCACCATGCCTGACTGGATATTTAGATATTCTCCAATATTGTTTCCGTGGACATTGTTGTCTATCTATCAGGTAGGTACGTAGGTAGGTAGATAGATAGATGGATGGATGGATGAAGATTTTCTTAATTATTCTTCAAAGACTGGTAGTTAGTTCTATAAAGGCAGAGGTTAAAAAAATGTTTCATTCATTTCCTAGATGAGAAACTCTAACAAAACTCTAACAACAACATAGAAGGGTGTTTGGGCTGGGCATGGTGCTACACCCCTTTAATTCCAGCACTTGGGGAGGCAGAGACTGGCAGATCTCTGAGCCCAAGTCCAGCCTGATTTACAAAGTGAGTCCAGGACAGCCAGAGCTACACAGAGAAATGCTGTCTTGGGGGGTAGAAAGCAGGGTAGAAGGCTGTTTGGAAGGTATGTGTAAGCAACCTAGAGAGACAGACAGAGAGATGCCGCTTTCTAATGGATGCTTCCCACGGTCCTTTGCACCACACCTCACTACGGGCTTGTGAGACAGACAAAATGTGTTCTGTCATCTCTCTTCATATAACTGAGAACACTGGGGCTGAAAGTTAAGGGCAGAGGTTCTGAGGTCTAGAAATCTGACGACAAAGTTCCCTGGGTTTGTCCATCCTATGCTCCACTTTGTACTGTTGAAGGTTCTAGGCTTGAGATTCTAAAGCCTTTCATCTTCTCTCTCAGTCCAGGACATCAACATTTCCCTATGGCGATCACCAGAAGACGTGAGGTCGGACAAGAGCATCTTCATGAACCAGGGCGAGTGGGAGCTGTTGGGGGTCCTGACCCAATTTCAGGAGTTCAGTATAGAAACCAGTAGCAGCTATGCAGAAATGAAGTTCTATGTGAGTGGGCATGGCTGTGGATGGAGTGATGACAAAAGCACCTAGGCCTCCATATTGGGGGTAGCATAAGGAGGCAGACTGGGAAGCACATAGTAACCCTTTTGCCAACCCAGGTCCGTACACATTCCATGCATCTTCAGCAAGGGTGATGGGAACTTAACTGAGACATTCCATGTTTATCCTCAACAACCATAAGCCTGGTGCCAGAGGTGGAATATGAGTCTGTCAGTCTCCTTCCCTGAGCAATCCAGGCTGGAGGTTCTATAGGAAAAGGACTGGGTATGCTCTGGCAGTTTCTGGGTTCCTGTCTGCCCAGTCATCCCCCAAACTTCTGTCCTGGTCCCAGGTGGTCATCCGCAGGCGGCCTTTATTTTACGCAGTCAGCCTCTTGCTGCCCAGCATCTTCCTCATGGTTGTGGACATTGTGGGCTTCTGTCTGCCCCCGGACAGTGGCGAGAGGGTCTCCTTCAAGATCACCCTCCTTCTGGGATACTCAGTCTTTCTCATCATTGTGTCAGACACACTGCCGGCAACAGCCATTGGTACTCCTCTCATCGGTAAGGCCTCCCCCAGGGAAGAGTTCACTATGGCAAGGACCTGTCCTTTCCCCACACTTAGCGTTTCTCTTTCTCCGGCTCAGGTGTCTACTTTGTGGTGTGCATGGCTCTGCTGGTGATAAGCCTCGCTGAGACCATCTTCATTGTACGGCTGGTGCACAAGCAGGACCTCCAGCGGCCAGTACCTGCCTGGCTGAGGCACCTGGTCCTAGAGAGAGTAGCCTGGCTGCTCTGCCTCGGGGAGCAGCCCAGGGCCCATAGGCTCCCTGCCACCTTCCAAGCCAGCAAGACTGATGACTGCTCAGGTGAGAGAGGATAGGGACAGACTCACACATAGAGTCTGGAGGCTGTGGCATGCCATGGATGCGAGATAGGATCTGGGAACTGGGTCTGGGATGGAAGCAGGAGGACGCTTCAGTCAAAGAAGTCAATCAGACTGAACCTTGCTTCTCTTTCCACTTTGTAAAGACAGAATCTTACTATGTAGCTCTGGTGACCTAGGACTCACTATGTAGACCAGGCTGGCTTTCATAGAGATCCATCCCCTGTCTTGCAAGTGATGGAGTTTAAAGCCATGTGCCACCAGGCCCTTTTACTTTGCTTTCAAACCCTTCATTAGCCTAAGTGAATGTTGGGTGGGAGTCCTGGAGGATGAGCTAGCTCTATGGGCTGGGAAGGGCTCAGACGGAGCTGGGTTTGAGCCCAGCAATTGGGAGACACAGGCGGGTGAGTCTCTATGAGTTTGCTACCATTCTGGTCTACATAGCGAGTTTTAGACCAGCGAGGACTCATAGTGAGACCCTGTCTCAAAAGAAGGGGAGAGGAAAAAAGGTAGACTGCAGCTGAGGAAAATACCCAAAGTCAACCTGGCCTCCATAACACTCCCTCCACCCCCACAACATCAGGGTATCTCACTGGCTTCCTTTAAATACCTATGCTCTATTCTTCTTCCAGACATGGGAAATCACTGCAGCCATGTTGGGGGACTCCAGGACTTGGAGAAGACGGCAAGGGGCAGGGGTAGCCCTCCTCCACCACCAAGAGAGGCCTCATTGGCTGTGCGTGGGCTCTTGCAAGAGCTATCCTCCATCCGCCACTTCTTGGAGAAGCGAGATGAGATGCGGGAGGTGGCGCGGGATTGGCTGCGGGTGGGATATGTGCTGGACAGGCTGCTGTTTCGCATCTACCTGCTGGCTGTGCTGGCCTACAGCATCACCCTGGTCACACTCTGGTCCATTTGGCGTTATTCTTGAGTGGGCACAGCCTGCCAGGGAGGGGATATATGGGGCTGGTTAGGATAAGGATGGGGGAGTTCCCCTTAGTTCCTTCATTCTGTTTTCCAACACCAATCATCTGAGCAATCCCAAACACCCAAGTCTGCACCCTTGGCCCCTAAATTTAGTGATGAAGACCCACTCCACCTCCCCCACTTCATTCCCAACTTCCCCATCATGGCTCTAAAGCATGATCAAGAGAAATCAAATCCCTCTTACCCTCTAACTTTACTCGTCAACGCATCAAGCCCCAGTTTCCTTCCCAAAACTTCCATGGATGAAGGCCCTCAGAACTGCTCACTTCCACAAAATTCATTTTTTGATTGAAGAAGAGAAAATCCTATAGTGTAGGTGCCTGAGACTTCTGCATTTGTTTCACCCAGCCCCTAATGACTCCCCTCTTCAGCCTACCTGTAGCCACTTCCCTAGCACCCAGCTTCAGCAGTCAGTGGGTGCAGGAAGGTAATAAAATGCAGTCATATCTTATTCTCTGTCTGTGATCATTTGTATTCAGCTTTGGGAAAAGGTTGGAAGGAATTACCTGTTGTTTCAGTTGATTGATGCTTCCTGAACCATGGAACTAGAGGACTACACAATAGCCATCATGACGAAACAGTAGGAGGTGGATCACCATTTGAATATCAATACTGACCATTTATCAAAGGAGAGGAGAGAGGAACCCACTGGAAGAATGCTGGAGTCCATGTGAGCCAACTGTTCTGGATTCATGGTCTCTAGGGGAAGGAGGGAGCAAGCTTTCCCTGTAAGAGTGTGCGACCTTAGAGAGGAAGCTTTAGCACCACGGCCAGCACCCGCAAGCCTGCTGCTTAGGGAATACTGTGAATGCAAGGCTTGGACTGAGGGTCTTCTCTGAGAATTTTACTAGTCAGTGCCTGGCATCCCTAGCCAAAAAGCAGGACTTGGAGGAAGGCAGAGCTGAGCTAATGTTCTCAAATATATCTTATCCTGGCCACCAGTCCTAGATGTCAGGGCTGAACATGCTAAGGAACATTCCCAGCTCCACTCCACCCACCTAACAGTCACCTAAGGAAAGGAATATTCTGCCTTAGTCTCAAGAGTGTATAGATGAGGTTTCCTCTGACAGTTTAGCTCGTTCCTATCTTATTTCTCTTCCCAACTTGAGGTGCTTGTCACTCAAAATAAAGCATGGTAGAGAGGGGAACTAGACAAACACCAGGCTCCAGGGACAGGATCCACCAAAAATGTCTCAGATGAGATCAAACAGTTCCATTGCCCCTAAACTATTCCAGGGTAGCCAACAATAAGAGAGTCAGTGCAATCACTTGGAATGATACAGTCTCAGGCTGCTAAATTTTGCAATTTCACTTCATAAACCCTTTGGGAGGCTGAGCAGAGGCTCTGGGGCCTTGCACTTTGTCTCATCTGAAAGAGTCAAGGCGGAAGAAAGGATTCACCTGGTTCTTTTCTTAGCTGCTTCTTATCTCAGGATCAGCACTGTACAGAAAGAGCTCCTAGATTCTAACTAGTTGCTAGCTCCTTAGGTGAATTGAGATTGAAGTCTCATGGTCCCCTCTACCTCAGACACATGGACTTTTGAGATGACTTCAGAATTTCACATTTTTGTTTTGTTTGTGTGGTGATACAGGTCTGTTAGTGTGGGACCCAGAGTGGCCTTTGGCTGAGCAAGATCGGGAAACGGGTGGGGATAGTTCTTGTTCAGAATAGGACAGGCAGTTCTGCCCTTGGAGCCTGGTTTTAGGGCCAAAAGCTGCCCCACCTACTAGGACTGCTGGGCATACACTCTCAGAAGGTTCTCATGTCCCAGGCCACAAGGATAGAAAGATGGACAGTCAATGCACCACTGGCCATTAAGTGGGTGGCTATTGACAAAGTGCTCAACCAGAGAGCTAGTAAGACACTCATCAGCCTATTGATTCCCCATCTTCGCCCTTCTCACCCTTCATTCGCAATCAATGGGGCGACAGAGCCCAGCATTGAGGCAGCCAATTAAGCACCTCAGGAATGAGCTGTTGCATGTAACATCTTCTGGTCCACCAGCCACGTCCAATAGGAGCATTGATCTGGCATGTGGGCCACGCGTCTCAGGGATGGGAAACTGAAGCCCAGTACTGGAGAATGTCTCCAGCGCACCAATTTCTACTTATCAACGCTAACCTTGGACTGTGTCCTAGGAGATCATTGCTCTGTCTGGGGACACCTCCAGTCACTTGCTTCCTTCCTCCCTTTCATAACCAAAGCTCAGGCTGAGGCAGTCCAAGCTAGCTGGGCTGAGCCTCCAGTCCCCATTATGCCAATTAAAGAGACAAGAAAAGCCAGGAATGGTGGCTTACACCTTTACTCCAAGCACTTGTGAGGCTGATTCAGGAGGATTACTGTTAGGTTAAGGTCAGCCTGAGCTATATGGAGACCCTATTGTGAAAGGGTGGTAAAGGTTAATGGTACAGAGAGAGTTATCCAATGTGGACCTATTGGGGTAAATCAGATAAAAGGGTTTAATGACTCTAAATTCATGTTTGGATACTGACATGAGCTTTTGGATTAAATGAAGGAAGACTTGTGTGTATGGGGGGGCAAGAGGTAAGAATAATACATCAGTCTTGGTGTAGATAAGGACCTGTCTACTCCCACCCATCATTGTTTTATCTGCAAGGTGGTCCCAAGAAGTCCATGGCTTGAGGGGTCAAGGTAGCTCTCAGGAGATAACGGCATCTACCCCCAGAGTTAGCATCATCTAAGGAGGGGGTAGTCTGAAGCAGGAATAAGACAAGTTAGACAGGCACTCCTTGAGTGGTTAACATACAGACCCACAGAAGGAAGCGCCAGGCTCTAGGTAAAAAAAACAGAACAACAACAAAAACCAGTAACAGAGCAAAGGCAGAGAACCAGTCTGTTGTTCTGCTTGTGGCTAGCCTTGTAGATCAGTGCCCTCTGGCTCCTACAGGCCAGCATTAGTCCACATCACTCCACTGCCTCTGATTCTTTCCTAGGCTTCGGGTCTCCATGCCCCTGCTGCTCCTTCCTACCTCCCGCACCTCCTTATCTCACCTCCCAAGTGATCCATGGCCTTTCCCCACCCACCCTGCTTCTATCAGTCTCCCCAAAAGCACCATCAGAGGTAAGTCAGAACGCACTGCAACGCCGAGAGCCCTGGTGCTCTGCAAGCCTGGAGCACCAGGCTTTGATGCTGCTAGGAGATTGTCCCTGGATCCCAGGAGGGAAGCTGCTTTTGCTCCTGATGCTGGCCACCTGTGCTCAGTGACTTCAAAGACATGCCCTAGAGTGGACACCTGGCAGCTTTCAGGAGCGCTGGACGAGGGAGGCTGAGCTTGGTGGCCAGTGGAGGAGACAGAGAGTTCCCCCAGGCAAGCTCAGAGGAAAAAGTTTCCTGATGGTGGAGGGTGGGGGCCCGGGAGCTCAGCCCAGCACTCGCCAGCCAGATTCTCCTCCCTCCCCTTCCTCCCCCAGTCTCTGAATCAATACATTCTGAATCTAATCTAATAACAGAGATTTAACGAGGGGATAATGCGAGTGGAGCCGCCAGGCGCTTTGTCTCTTCTTTCAGGAGGCAGCTGGGGCCCATTATCTGGGGACAATGCCCCATGCTAATCATTCCCTCTGCCTGGATCTGCATGTTTGGGGGAGGGGGATGCTGGGCAAGAAGGGGCAGCTCCTGTGACTGCATCAGAGGCAAGCAGGATAAAGTCAGACTGGTCCAGCCCACCCCGCACAATTCCCTCGGCCTAACACCAACTCCTTGGCCTTCTCCTCCAGCCACACGGGGTGCGCTGAACTCTGTGGGGCTGGGGGTCCCCCGCTAGGCAAGCACACAGCTAACTAGGTATCAGCTGGGAGTTGATGGGGTTTTTTTGGATTTTGTCTTCCGATTTTTCTAACTTAGTCCTCTGTAATTTAAGCTAGTCCACTGGCTTGTGATGGCCAGACCCGAGTGTCATGGTTAGAGAATTAAAGCATACTTTTAGGGAACAAGAATACCTCATCCTGCCTCTCCCTCTTTCTCTCTCTCTCTCAAGCTCTCTTTTATGGGAGTGTGGAGGTTAGAATGGAGAAAGGACTTCCTGGCAAGGCCAATGCTAACAATGATTAAATCAGGAGTCTGGAAAAGAACAAGTTGCCTCTCATTTCTTAGAAGCCTTTCAAAAAGATACCTTTAGCTCTGTAGTTTGGGAGAGGACTGCTAGGGAGGACAGATCTGCCTGGATTTGGGAGCTTTTGGGAGGAGGGAGTCCCGAGCTGTACTTGGTCATCCCACTGCTTTCTGAAACAAATTTACCGAGAACAACGCGGGCATGTGGTGGAGTGTCAGACCCCATGTATAAAGTCTGTCCCCAGCCGGGGTTTCCTTGTGTGTCCATCTACTGTCGGTAAAGTGGGGTTCACACCATTCCCACATCATAGGTATTAGGGCTTCTGTGATCCCAACGAAGAAATGTTCAGGGACTCTACAAGGCTCTAGTAGAGGCATCACGCTGGTCCTTTCTCCATCGGCTCAGGGCACCAGTGAGAACTGATCCTGGTAAGTGGTGGATGGGAACCTTTGTCCTGTTTGTTCCAGAGTAATGATAGGCAGAGCCAAATAAAGCTAGGAACTTCCCTTAAGGCCACAGGTTAAAGAGCCTCAGTGCCAGGCTGCATCCAGACACCAGATCCTTTCTGTCCCTTTGTTATGTCTCACACTCACTCCATACCTTCAGATTCTTAACAGTTTCTCCAAAAAACTTCATCTTTGATTTCCTCCTCTGGCTGTGTGAGGGAGTCTGCATACTCTAGGATCATTCTGATCCTGGCCAGGTCTCCAACGCAGCCCTACCTCCTGTGTCCCAACACTAAATGGACGGAAGAAAGAGCTTTATGGGTGTGACACCTGGGACTACAGGTATAGTCTGGAACCCTGTGACTCTGGAACTCACTTCCCCCAGCTATTAAAAACTCCCCCTACTTAAGTATCTAGCAAGATGCCAGTATGTGGCCAAGACCACCACAACTATGATTTTTAGATTCTGTCCACCAGATGGCAGCAAAGCCCAGAAGTTTTATGGAAAGTCAGGCACAAAGCCTCTTATTGCCCCCGTCCCTCCTGAGCCCCCCAAATAAGGACTCCTATTCCTCACCAGTGGTGTCTGCAGCCAGCTTCCTTCAAGTCAGGAATAAGGACAGCATTCCTGAGCTTCAAGTATTGAAGCAGAGGCAGTTTCACCATTCCCTCTGTCACGCAGCTGTGCCTACACTGAGCTCGGCACTCTGAGGCTCCTTCCCAGGCCCTGGCAGGATCCCATGCTCATCCACTCATCCACAAACTTGGCTCTTCGAGTTCTCTCCTTTCTGCACATGTGATGAAGACGTGGATGGCTGGGGGTACACAACGCTCTTGCCTAAAGCTCTCTCAGCACCAGCCCTTGGAGGACTCTGTTTCTCTCTTCTGCACAATTACAGCCCATGCTACACCAAC